TGGACTGAGTGGTCCTGGGTTTGACATTTTTCTAGGTCAAGGTCAAGGGCACATACCTTGGTTGCAGGCGGTGGAGGGGGGGGTGAGTAGGGACGCAATCAGTGTCTCTCTCATATCATATTTCTTTCTGTCTCTTTCCCTCCCTTCCACTCCCTCTAAAAAAATCAATGGAAAAATATTCTCAGGTGAGGATTAACTAAAAAAATAAGTAAATTTAAAAAAAATAAGTAAATAAAATTATTTAAAAAACCAAAAAATCCAATGCTAATACCAACCATTAACATTAGCAAGGTATCTATCCCTGATGGTCTAACAGCTAACAACTTACGGTCAAACTAGGTATGAAATTTACTTATTCCTGTTGTCCACATCTCCTCCTGCTTTAGGTGACTAGCTTTTAAAGGTGAGACTGTCCAGGGAGCCACATGGTCAGGATCTTCCAACCAGACACAATTTTAATATACTATTCTCAAATCATTGTCTGTATATATTCAGTACAATGCAGCAAGCAGACCAGTCATTTATTTCTCATTCAGTTACCCACATCAAAAAACCTTGGGAGTCCTTGATTCCTCTCCCTCACACTGCATCCATCTATCAGCAAATTTCATTAGTTCCATCTTCAAAATATATCTAGAACATGACCACTTCCCATCACCTCCATTTTTTCTAACCTAGTCAAAGCCACCATCATGTCTCATCTGGATTATGACAGCAGCATGTGAATAGGTCTTTCTATTGCTGCTGTTGTCCTCCAACAGTCTATCCTCCATATAATGGCCACATTGATCCTTTTTGTAGGTCTTACAAACTTCCACATGATCTGGCTCCTTTCTTTCTTTGTGACCTTGTCTCTTACTATTGCTCTTCCCTATTCCACATCAGTCTAGGCACATTGGCTTCTTTGTTGAACACACTAAGCATACTTCTGCCTCTGGGCCTTTGCACTTACTATTTCATCTGCCTAGAAAGTTCTCACCTCAGCTAGCCCTCCTCTTGTTTAGGTCTCTACTTAATTATCATCTTACTAGAGGCCCAGTGCACCAGTGGGGTCCCTCGGCCTGGCCTGTGGGATCACAAGGGGTCCCGGATTGCGAAAGGCCTCAGGCCAGGCACGATAGGGGCAGGGGAGTGACACAGGAAGTTGGCCAGCTGGGGAGGGACCATGGGAGGGCTCCAGGGCATGTCCGGCCTGTCTCGCTCAGTCCTGATTGGCCGGACCCAGCAGCAAGCTAACCTACCAATCGAGCATCTGCCCCCTGGTGGTCAGTGCACATCATAGTGACTGGTCGCCCGGGTGACTGTCTGCCCCCTGGTGGTCAGTGCACATCATAGCAAGTGGTTGAGCATCCTTAGCATATCATTAGCATATTACACTTTGATTGGCTGAACAGCCGATCAGACACTTAGTATATTAGGCTTTTATCATATAGGATATGTGATGCCTTCCCTAGTCACTCTAAAAAGCCACCACTACCTCCCAGTTGTTTGTTCCTCTGTCCCCCTTCTACCTTGCTTTATTTTTCTCTGTATTACTACTATATCTCAGAGCCAGGAACAGTACCTGACACACAGTAGGTATTCAGTAAATATTTGTTGAATGGATGTGGATATAAAAACAAACGGAAAAGCTGATTTTTTAAAAATGCTCCTGAGTCACTTTTCAATCTCACTCTAACCTGGTGTCTGCTGTACAACTCCCTCTACCTGGGGCACCTTAGTGCTAATTTTCAGGGTTCATCTTCCTCCACCAATGCAAATTCATACACACATACACTCAGTTACACCCACTCACTTTGGCCCAGGCAGGAAATCCAGTTTCCCCTACTCCCACATCATTCCCCATCCTCACTCTATTCCAAATCCAACTGCCCTGGGATTGCTCCAGGTGCATGACCTTGCACCTAAAAAGGCCCCTTTCTGGCCAAGCTCTACTCTCACAAGGACTTCCTGACTTTGTTTCTATCAGATAGAGAAGTGAATATAGGAACTACTTTATTTCTCTTCCATCTTTATCCTCCTGGTGTTAACCCTCACCCCTGGCAGGGTCCACTTCCCTCCTACATCTTACCATCTACAAGACACTCTAGTGACAGAGGAATTTCTGTTTCTCAGTTCATTGGACAGAGATGAAAGGAAGGGAGGGAGGGAGGGAGGAAAGAAGGAAGGAAGGAAGGAAGGAAGGAAGGAAGGAAGGAAGGAAGGAAGGGAGGGAGGAAGGAAGGAAGGAAGAATGGGAGGCAGAAAAGCAAGGAGGGAACATGGGAGGAAATATAAGGTGTCCTAAAATTCACCCAAGATTTGAACTTTGCGTGAGCATTAACAACAACAACAACAACAACAAAAAAATAAAAGCCTAATTTTACTTGATTTATTGAATCAGATTCTAATATCTGTTGCCCTTTGATTTCAATCCCTTCAATTTGATAAGCATTACCAAGTACCAATTATGGCCCAGAAGCAGGGACAATGAAGACCATGGCTTTGCGTATGTGCCAGCAAAGCCGTGGAGGCCATTTACCCGATGTGCTATTCCATACATAACCCTATACTGTATACTTTATGAATCAATAAAAAATTTACAATTTTTAATTATAAACCTGTGTTTTCTATCAAAATTACTTCTTGCGTGAATTTTGGGACACCCTATAGAAGTGAAGGCAATGGAGAAGGAAGACACACTCTGGTTGTGGGGGACAGAAAGGTTCTTGTAAAATTACATTCCTTCAATTCTTGGGAGTAGATGGCTGCCTAAACGGTATGTCTCCTGGAACGTGAAAATGAGCTCTTGCATCTCCTCCTTCATCCCCATCTGTTTAAGGATTTCTGTTAACCGGAGACAAAACCCAGGTTTGGAGATTTGTCTCATAGTTAGAAGCTAAACTGTAATTTGTAAACAGCACTTGGGATCTGCTCCAGGGGCACTTGCATGGTGGGATGTCAAGAGATAGAGCATCTGGAAGATAAATGTAAAATATTTTACTAAGTCTCTTCCCCAGAAATATCAATGAAAACAAATTTTCTTTTATTGTGTCTTTGTCTTTCTTTGGCTTTGCCAGTCGGCCTGCTTCTAAATTATCTGTCTCTGTACCCTCTGTCTTCACTATTGTTTTTTCCCTTTTAATGATGATCAAGTCCAAAGAAACCTGAGAAGCCCTGCCCCCAGTACCTTTTCCTGAGTCACCATGGACCCCTTCCTCTTTCTCCCCCAGGGAAATATTGGGAACAAGTCTTTCTGATTGTCAGGCTCCACATAGCACTCAGATGGCTGGCAGCCAGAGTAAAGAACCAGGGAGAGCTAGATTTGGATAAATCTGGTTTAAAGTCCACCCTAGACAGTCCAAATTCCCTGATACCCAGGGGGATGGGCCTTTCTCTCCAGTTGGGCCAGATTTTATGCAAGACATTTACTATGTCAAAGTATCAGTCTTTGGCCTCGGAGTCAGGTCTCCAGAGTCTGTTTCCAGCTCCACCCCAGGGTGATTCTGGTTAATGAAGCTTCTCCCAGTCTTTACACCCTTGACCTAGCTACCTGACGAGAGACAAGATCAGTGCAGGGCTGGGAGCTCTTCAGGACACAGGAATTACGAAAAAGACAGGGAAGGTTGCTACTAAATGAGTTCCGACCCTCACGGTAGGGTTAAGTGGGGGGTTTAGGAACCTCGCCAAACCCAGTTCCCTGGGGGAGGTCGTTCCAGTCTGACCCAAGGGCGCCATCTGGCGGCCGAGTCCCTCCCACACCTGGACTCGCCCCGCCCGCGCGCTCCGAGCCCGAGCGGGCTGCCCGGGGGGACTGCCGCCGCCTCCCCGCGTCACTCAGCGGCCCCGCCTCCGTCCGGTAGCGCCTCCTCCCGAGCTGGCCCCCAGCGTCCCCTGCGGAATCGCCGCCCTTCCTGCCTCTTGGGCTGAGCGCTTCTCCGGTAGAA